AGTTTCTGGGAGTACTGTGCTCTCTGAATTCACCTAGAGAATGCTGGAATGTCAGTAGGCAGGTCAGCACATTGCTTTGCAACCTACTAAATTCAGAGATCCCAATGGTCACCTCTCAAGCTACCATAATTCCAAATAGACAACAAATTTTCAGAGCAGTGTTATGAAGAGAATGTGACCAGCACAGCACACGTGACATCTTACCTCAACTTCCTGTGGCACAATCATCTAAACTTACTCTGACCTCTGACTTAATTTAATTCCTTCTAGTTAGTTTTACATGACAATACAAATCATATTGGCACATCATACATAAATGGAGTATATCTTCTCCTTCTTCTGATTGTACACAATTTAGAGTTGCACCAGGCATATAATCAGGTATGTAAATAGGGCTAATGTCCAATTCATTCTAATCCTTAATCCAAAGTACCTCTATTCTTCCCAAGTGCCCACTCCCTTATTGTGAATTAGTATCTTCATATAGAGACGATATTTGGCCTTCGGTTCTTTGAGTTTGGCTTATTTTGTTTAGCATGATATTCTCCAATTCCATCCATTTACTGGCAAATGCCATAATTTCATTCTTCTTGAAGGCTAAGTAATACCCCACTGTGTATATAAACCACATTTTCTTTATCCATCAAGCTGTTGGAGGGCATCTAGGTTGGTTCCATATTTTAGCTATTGTCAATAGAGCTGCTAAAGACATTGATGTGGCTGTGTCCCTGTAACATGCTGATTTTAAGTTCTTTGGGTATAAAACAAGGAGTAGGATAACTGGGTCAAATGGTAGTTTCATTTTAAGTTTTCTAAGAAATATCCATACTGCTTTCCAGCATAAATCACCAATTTGCAGTCCTACCAACAATATATGAGTGTGCCTTTTACAGTACATCCTCACCAGCATTTATTGTTGCTGGTGTTCTTGAAATTGCCATTTTGATGGATGTGAGTTAAAATCTTAGAGTAGCTTTAATTTGAATTTCTCTAATTGCTAGAGATATTGAACATTTTTTTTTCATATATTTGTTGATTGATTCATTTCTTCTTTTGTAAAGTGTCTGTTCAGATCCTATGCCCATTTATTGATTAGGTTATTTGTGTTTTGGGTGTTTAAGATTTTTGAGTTCTTCATGTATCCTGGAGTTTAATGCTGTGTCTGAATTGCAGCTGGTGATGATTTTCTCCCATTCTTTAGGTTCTCTCTTTGCATTATTGATTGTTTCCTTTGTGTGAAGTAGCTTTTTAGTTTGATTTCATTCCATTTATTAGCTCTTGAATTTACTTACTGTGCTTTAAAAGTCTTGTTAATGGAGTCATTTCCTATGCTGACATGGTGAAGATTTGGGTCTGCTTTTTCTTTTATTTTGTACAGAGTCTCTGTTTTAGTGTCTAAGTCCTTGATCCACTTTGAGTTGAGTTTTGTGCAGGGTGAGATATAGGGGTTTAATTTCTTTTTGCAACCTATGGGTTTCCAGTTTTTCCAGCACCATTTGTATAGGAGGCTATCTTTTCTCCAATGTATATTTTTGGTGCCTTTGTCTGGTATGAGATAATGTAGGTTTGTCTCTGAGTCTTCTAGGCTATACCATTGGTCTACGTGTCTGTTTGGTGCCAATATTATGCTATTTTTGTTACTATGGCTCTGAAGTATAACTTAAAGTCTAGTATTGTGATGCTTCCTCTTCACTTCTCTTGCTAATAATTGCTTTGGCTATTCTGGTTTTCTTATTTTCCCAAATAAATTTTGTGATTGTTTTTTCTACTTCTATGAAGAATGTTTTGTGTGTTTTAATGGAATTTGAGCTGTGACAGTTTTTTTTTTTACTTTTTTATTGAATGGAATGCATTACAATTCTTTTTACATGTATACAGCACAAGTTTTCATATCTCTGGTTGTATATAAAGTATGTTGACACCAATTCATGACTTCATACATGTACTTTGGATAATGATATCTTTCAGTTCATTGTCCCTGGACTTCCCACAATCTCATGTGTTTGATTTTTTTTTAGTGACAGAGATTTAATAAAAAGAAATTATAAAAATGATTATTTACAACTATATTTGTGGTCATGGAGAAACATCTATAATCATATGCAAAAAGCTCTAAAATTAAGCAGATAGATAAGCTGTTAAATAAATAATAGTATTTAATCTGAAATAAAAAGAACAAGGCATCTCAGAAATTTTGGCCCATTAAGTCTGATTCATGACCATCCATTCTATTGAGTAATAGTCACTTACACCACTCAAGACATAAATCTTCAATCTAATGTTACTAGAAAATGCAGTAGTATCTCCATGAACCCTCACAAAGGCAGAGCAAGACCATGTGTCAGGGGAAGTACTGGAAAACCACAATAGGTTTCATGGTCTAAAAAGCAATATTTTGGCGAATAACCCAATCAATACATGGACTAAGGAACAGACACTTCACAGAAGAAATACAGTCAACAAATATATGAAAAAATGTTCAACATCTCTAGCAATTAGACAAATGCAAATCAAAGTTACTCTAAGATTTTATCTGATTCCAGTCAGAATGGCAATCATCAAGAATACAAGCAATTCGTGTTGGCAAGGATATGGGGGCAAAGGTACATTTATATATTGCTGTTTGGACTTCAAATTGATGCAACATGCTGGAAAGCAGTATGGAGATTCCTTAGAAAAGTTGGAATGGAACCACATTTGACCCAGCTAGCATACTCTTTGGTTTACACCCAAAGGACTTAAAATCAGCCCACTACAGTGACACAGCCACATCAATGTTTGTAGTAGCTCAATTCACAATAGCTAAGCTATGGAACCAATATAGTTGACCTTCAGCAGATTAATGGATATATAAAATGTGATGCATATACACAATTGGAGTATTATGCCTTCAAGAATGAAATTATTGTATTTGCCAGTAAATGGATGAGTTGGAGAATATCATGCTAAGTGAAATAAGTAATTCCCCAAAATAACAAACTCCAAATATTTCTTTCTGATATCTAGGTGTGGATCTATAAATGGATTGGGGGGCTAAGGAAGAATGGAAGAACTTTGGATTGGGCAGAGGTGAGTAAGGGGAGGGGGTGTATGGGGGGGTAGGAAGGATGGTGGAATGAGTCAGATATTATTACCCTAGGTACATGTGTGATTGAATGAACAGTGTAAATCTGCATCATGTAAAGCCCAAGAAATGAAAAGTTTTGCTCCATTCATATACAATGAGTTGAAATGCATTCTGTTGTCAAGTACAACTAATTAGAACAAATTGAAGAAAGGCAATGTTTTGGGACTTTTCAAAATCTTTAACTGACAGAATAACTAGCTGTGAGTCCAACATGCTAATTATTGACCTTTCAGGGAAAGGTTATCATAACTTGGAAGAGAACAGATAAAGGCCCACGAGAAATACACACACACACACACACACACACACACACACACACACACAAGCACACACACCATGCATAGTTGAATAGGAGAGGACAAGGAGAGAGATGTGAACAATAAGCAAGTGCTGCATAATGAAAATTATTAGTGCAGAAAAATTCTGGCACTAAACTGACCAAAGATGTTTCAGAGGGAAACCTTGCAACTCAGTTAATTCTATGCAAGGTCAAGGAGCATTCCTGTAGCACTCCTGTGGACTCCTCTGCTCTTCCAGAAGTCTGTGAATGAAGGATCTAGTGCGTGAAAAGGTTAATCGTACCTGCTGATTGGAAGTACTCCAAAGCCTTCTGGGCAGGACCGTGATACATTAGTTCTCCTGAGGCCAATATGGTAAGACTGTCAAACAGCCTGAAGATGGAATAGCAAGGATGATGGATGGTGAAGATAATTGTTCTCCCCTGCTGAGAAATCCTAAGTGAAAAAGGAAAATAATGAATCATTGAACATCCGGATCTTGCACTTCTTGATAGAATAATTACTCCTGCCAGTAGAGCTTTTTCTCTCAGTTCAACTTGATTTTCTCTTACAAAATTGTCATCTCAACTCATTACATACTTGGTAGTTGAGGAAAATAAAATTCAATGCTTTTATTAAAAGATTAAATATTCTTAAAGTTTGGTGCATCAGCAGTCTAGAATTGTCTATAAAGATTGAGAGAAAATGCATTTTCCTAGAGTCTACTCAGACAGTGAATTCAGGGAAGTTGGTACACAATCTCTGATGGTTGGAATAGGGAATACATATTATTACCAAGTATCTCAGATAATCTCTTGAGTACACCCACTTTCAAGAACTAGTTAATGACCTGTGAGACTACAAATAGTACAGTACGGAAAAGTCTACAAATAAAGAAAAAAAATGTATATTGTTATATTCCATCTTCATTTTGTATAGATTGTTCAAATTTTAATTCTTACAAGTCATTATCCTGTCTTATGTTGGCCAATGTCTTGGTAATTTAATCCTTTTAATAAAATTTTTAGTGAATACCTGAAAAAAGAACTAGGTAATGATTAAGTATTAAAAATATGGTCATGTAACCAATTTTCATTGATCATTTAATTATGCTGAATCTTTAGTAATTGGTTTTCATCCTACCGTAGTAATACATTAATATTATTTAGCACTTAAAATGCCATTTAACACTTAGTTAAATGTTTTAGAGATGAATCTTTATTTTTATAGTAAGGCTGCTATGATATTAGTATTTCCTTCTTTTTATAGATAAGGTCTAAATGTTAAGTAACTGACCAAGCCCTCACAGTTACTAAGGGGCCCTGTTGGGATCTGAGCTCTCTTCAGATTTTATGGTAGAAACAGTTCTAAACTGCCCTTTATAGGAGTTATTACTTAAGGTTAGAAGAAACAAAGGCCAACATCACTTTCCCAATTTTTAAAAAGTATTTCGAGAAAAGAATCACTTCAATTTAATAATTTGATAAGCACCTCATAAATCTATTGTATCCAAGGGGGTTCTGCCTCATGGAGAAACAGGAAGTAAGATCTATAATTTCATTCTGATGTGGATTTGAAGTAGTTAATGGCTCCTTGTAAAAAAAAAAAAAAAGGGAGAGTGATAACCCCGTCTCAAGTTGATATATGTAGAATATCCAAATTCCTAATGATGGTGAGCTAAGAAAAGAGATGCAGTGAAAGAACAAGGTGAACAAAGTAAACAAGTCTACTCTCAAAACTGTAAGAAGCAGTTCCATGTAACACGACAGGCAGTGTTTATGTGTTTGCTTGTGTTGGTGTTGTTTTGGGTGAAGAAGATAACTAAGAGAGATGGCAAAACAGGCCTATGGTGAGAATTTCAGAACAAAAGAAGGAAATTCAGTCAATAGGCAATAGGAAATGGGAAAGTACTGGAAGATGGAGATGGGGTTCCTGAGAGCTCTGATACTCAAAGTGTGCTCTGAGGACTAACAGCATTGGGATCAGTAATTCTTCAAATCTCCTGTGAAGAATTTTGAACCTTTCTTGAGACCTATAGAAACAGGATCTGCATTTCAACCAGACCCCAGGTGATGAACATGCACAGCAGTGTTTGGGAAGGACTGATCAGAGCTCTCTTAATGAGGAAAGATGCCTGTCCGCTAAGCAGAGCAAACCACAAAGAAAATGTCTATGAATCTAAATATCATACATGGGTTCTGTAATGGGGCCTGAACTCCAGACCGATGACTGGGCATCATCACTTATATGTGCAAATGGTATTTTAAACTTGTGATGTCTAACTCATAAATATCTTCCTTTCTTGCTGTTTCCTCTATCCTAGCATAGAGATTCGCTCATAGGGTTATGAGCATCAGAGGAAGCAAGGTTGTGACAGAGAGGGGAAGCCTTGAAGACAGTGTGATTGACACCTTAAAACAATGAGGCAGAGGAGTTTCTTTCTAGAGGTGGTAGATAAAGGGAGAGACTAGAACTACTTGGAGACTGGTTCCAATAAACAAATAAATTACATCAGTATGCAAGTAAGTAAATATTTTGAGATAATGGGAGCCCAAACTCTCCCTGTCTAAAGTCAGAAACATGAAAATAGCAAAGACTAAAAGTAAGACAGAGGTGTTAGTTTGGAGTCAGAAATATTACTATGAATTCATGGGCTTTTCAATGTATATACAATTACAAAACAGCAATAGTTATAGATCTCTGTTCTTGCATGTATTTTTTAGTAAATATCTATGTATACATATATGTGTACCACAATTAGATGATAAAGGCTGACATTACCTGTGCAGGTTGTATTCTCACGTGTGTTGCACTGAGTACTCAGCATCCTTTCATTCTTGAGCATCATGCAACACTCACTGGGATGGACCCTGCAGGGGGTCACACCATGAATTGCTCCAGATTGTAAGAAGACAGGAAAAGTGTGTTTCTGGAAAGATACTGACAGACAGGAAACAGACACAGTAGCTCTAATTGTATCCTAGCAACAGATTTGAGTAGCCATGATTGGATCCTGGTAAAGAAAAGCTTATTGACCAGGAATTTAAGATGATGGTGTGTTCTCCTGGATTGGAGTTTTTGGTAGGAAGTGTTTGGGGTGAAAGGGAATGATGGCAGAAGAAACTACATGGGAAGTAGCAGAGAGGAAAGGAGGGGCTACAGAAACAGTGAAATGTAACAGCGGGAAATACAGGTGAGAAAAGTAGAATTTCATTTGTATTATTCTTGGACATTCCCTTGCAGTTTGAAATATGTTACTATATTTTTAAAGATGATGTCTAAATCTCAACTGTTGAAAAATTTCCTATAAACATCCATTCGCATTTTTCTTTCTTTATAAAAAAATGCATTGTCTAATTTCATTCTTCCACTTTTTGAAGCCTCAAATGTCAGTAGTCATTGTCTCAATCCTCCCATGACAGATGGAAATCCTGAGCTGATCCTGTTGGTTCCCTTGAAAACAGATCTAGAATCCACCCTCTGCTCACCAGGACCATCCTAGTCGACGCTTCATCATCCTTCATCAGCTCCTTCACTGGATCTTCCCTCATCCTTGCCTAACTGCTGTCTTCCCCACAGCCATTGTTGTACTCCAAAAATCTCAGAAACCTCCCCATTTCCTCTAGTGACAGGAAAAGCCATACTTCTTACATGACCTCTTTCACCAGTCCAACTCCACTTAACATCCTAATCCACCTGTAAAGGGCTAAACTGGGTCCTCCTCAAACTCAGATGTTGAAGCCCTATCCCCCAGGGCCTCTGAATGTGGCCACATTGAACATAATGCTTTCAAAGAGGTCTTTTTAAATTTAAATGAGGTCATTGAGGGTTCTCATCTGACAATGTCCAGTTAGGAGTTGATTAAAACACAGACATACAAAGGGAGAAGGTGACCATCTGCAGTCAATGAGAGGCCAATGAAGAAACAATCCACAGCATACAATTTTTCAAATTTCTGCCTTCAGAGTCATGAGAAAATTAATTTTTGTGTTTAAGCCTCCTGTCTGTGGTATTGTGACAGTTCACCAAATGTCACTCCTCATAGTCTCTGGGTCTGTCCCTCTGGCCTTGCTAGTCTTCCCCACACATCAGACATGCTGTGCTTCAGAGCCACTTGGCTGCCTTTTCTAACCCGAACTTTCTTCTGATTTATAGCACATCTCACTCATTCTCTCCCAGTATATGTGTCACATGATTGTGGCCTTTTCTGATCCTTCTAATTAAAAAGCTCCCTGCCTTCACCTTAGCCTTCCTTTCCTATATTCTTGCTTCATCTTTCTTGAACCACTTCTTGTTTATTGACTGTATCCTGCTAACGAAGAAGAAACATTTAAAAAAAAAAACTTCTAAATCTTCTGCACCAGAAATACCAGTAAAATAGAAGTGATCAAAGAGTTAATGAATGAAAAAAAAATGTTGCCATAGTTTTTACCTTTTTAGAAGTGTGAAGACATCATTAGCTGTTCTCCCATCTAAGCCAGTTGTGGGTTCATCCAGGAACAAGATGCGAGGATTGAGGATCAGCTCCATTCCTATACTAGTCTTTTTTCTTTCTCCTTTAGATTCCACCTAAAACACAAATTATCATCATGTTCAAGAAGTTCCATGGTCACTGCTATTTGGTGAATTAACCAGTACCATTCCTGTTAGAGATACTTTACTTCATTTTCCTCATTTAACTGGACAGGAAATAAATGACACCTGTGGGAAAAAAGTTTTTCTCTAACCCCATGTGTAAGCTAAGCCTCAGTGCAGAGTAGTCACCTGATTTCAATCTCATCCTTTTAATAGTCCTGAGCATTCCTTGACAGTCAATTATTTTAAGAGTAAGTTAAAACACTAAAAAATCAAACCAAACCACAAAGAAAACTATGATGTAGGGAAATATATTTAATAAAGGAGAGCCTGGCACAGTGTAGTATGCCTGTAATCCCAGTGGCTAGGGAGGCTTAGGAATGATGTTCTTAAGTACAAAGCCAGCCTTAGCAACTTAATGAGGCCCTAAGCTACTTAGCGAGAACCAATCTCTAAATAAAATATAAAAAAGAGCTGAAGATGTGGCTCAGTGTTTAAGCATCCTTGGTACCAAAAACAACAACAACAACAACAAAAAAACAATAAAACAACAAACAAAAAGGAAAAGAAAAAGAAACTACTTACAATGATCTTTTAGTGCGTTCTGAACATCTCATACAGACACACCACATCCACAAAATATCCCAACTGGACTTAAAAGAAGATAGTCACCTTGGAACCAGGAGCATATAATTTCCAACATACCATATTAGCATCTTTTAAATTTCATATTTTTCCCCAAAATGATTTTTTCTATATGTAACTTACCTCAGAATTGCTCAGTCATCTTTTCAGAAAAATCCAGAACAGGGGGTATTTCACAAGGCAAGTGGCACAATATTTGCAGCCAGTAAATGTGTGGGGAGGGGATAAAGAAGACTTAGGGGAGGCAGGAAGTAGAAAACACACAACCCTTGAATGGTTTCTATTAAGAACTGATCTTTAAAACACATTTGGGTACCTGATCGAAGTATTATATTAATGTATAAGTATGGCACAATAAAATATATTATTTTATATAATTATTATAAGCAGAGAAAAAGGCTTTGGGGAACAATTAGGAACATATTAATAAATATAAACATGTAACAGCTCATAATATAGAGACCTTGTTCCATTTGTTTGATAATGGTATCAGTAAGGTAAGATATGTGCTCATTTCCTTAAGTTATTGTGGGAGAAAAGCGATACAAATGACCATTGAAGGGACTAGTACTACCCTATAGAGGCAGTAATTCATTGTTAGGTTATCCAACATATCATTTGAGTAATCAGACTATTTGTCTACATTTTTGTTATGTTAAAATATCATAAAGAGCTAAAAAATAAATTACTTAAATCAATGAGATTGTATGATTCTAAGAAGCCAACAATTACCTTTGTACATTTCCTCTGGAAATCCAAGCAAGCAACTCACTAAAGTGCCTGCTTGGAACTAAGTAAGAGTAAAAGAAAGTGTCTTCCTAGAAAGATAAAATCAGTTTAAAAAGCAGCCCTAATCACTCAACAACAACAACCAAAGGGGCTAAAAAGTGGCTCCTGTGCCATCATAACTCAGGAGAGATCCACAGGAAAAAAAATTATGTTTATCTGCTACCTGTACAAGCCCCATTGATATCCAAACTGAAATTTAACAAGATTCTCCTTCACCTTGGCATGGTTCACTATGAATAACTCTAACATCAACTATGATCATTTACATAACTCTTTAGCATGAATGAGTGTTTTAACCCCAATAGCCAACATCGCATCTTCAATCCATTTGAATGTATTTCATCTAATGGTTTAAAGTATTATAAGAATAAATCTTCTTATCTTTGTTTTCATATCTCTAGTTTAAACTTGTTCCTCTTACTCCTGATTCATTCTCTTGCATTATCTGCTACTACCTCATATACTCACTATCCATCAATTTTACCTTTGTACTTTAGTGCAAATTATCTTTTATATCTTTTTTCTCTCTCTTAATTTTTGTCTTTTCCAATCCTTTTGGTCTTTTATTCCCCAATTCCCCACCAATCCTTCATTTATGGTTACAGTAATTGTACTAAATTTAATAACTATTATTGGAGCTTTTCCAGATCACTTTTAAAGGCTTACATATGTATTTGGGAAACTGTGGAGAAAAATAGCAACAAGCTTTTCTTTCTTATAAGGGTGAATATTACAAGCCTTGGCTCTGGAGTGGTTAGAGTAAATAGGGTTCAGTGGCATCCTTGAAACTGGTGCTGATATTAGGATCAGCAGAGGTCACACATTGACAAAAATATCAGCATCTGAATATGATATCATCCCAGGGCTCTTAAGAAAAAATAACTTACAAGTAGTCATTCTCTTAAAAAAGAAGTGAGAACTATACCAAGAGATGTGTAGGCATAGAAATGCTATGAAAAAAAATAAAGAAAAAAAATCACCCCAAAGCCCCTAATGTTTCAACAACTGACTCCATAGACACTACCATAGAGAATATGTCATAAAAACATTTTGAAAAGTTAAATGATAAAATATTCTATAACCTAAAAAGGTATAAAATTGAAATTGGAGAAAAAAATACAGAAAGTGAAAGATTACTTCAAAAAAAAATAAAGAAATTCTAAAAGGGAACCAAATAGGAATCCTAGAAGAGAAAGACTCAGAAACCAAACTAAAAGCTCAATAGAAAGCAACATGAATGGATTATATCACTTTGAAGATAAATCTTTAGGTCTTGAAAACAAAACATATAATCTAGAATAAAGATTGCATAAAGAAAAGATGTTAAGAATGAATAGAAAATTTAATGTTAAGATGTTAAGAATGAATAGAAAATTCAAAAAATATGAGATGTCACTAAAACACCAAATTTAGGATTTATTGGGATAGATGAAGGCTCTGAAATATAAGCTAAAGGCACGCACAATTTTTTCAATGAAATGATATTAGAAAATTTTCCAACTCTTCAGAATGAGAGAGAAATTCAAATCAAAGAGACATATAGAAATCCATGTATACAAAATCACAATAGATTCACACCAAGAAACATTATAATGAAAATGCCTAGCATATAGAGTAAGGATAGAATTGTGAAAGCTACAATAAATAAAAGGGCTGGTCACATTTAGAACTAAACCAAAACAGATTTCAACTGATTTCTCAAGTCAGAATCTAAAATCCAGAAGATTTTAGAGTACTATAAACAAAGTTCTGAAATAAAATGTGTGTCAACCAAGAATTTCTATACCCAGCATAATTAAGCTTCAGAATTAAAGATTAAATAAAAACATTTCATGAAAAACAGAAACAAAAGAATTCATAACTACTAAGCCTGCGTTACAAGACATATTCAATGAAATTTTCCATCAAGAAGAAATCAAGAGTGAAAATGAAAAGAAACATAAGAATGAAGTCCCTGAAATAAAAATCAATTAAAGGAAAACAAATATGCTTTAAACATTAGAAATAAATCAAATGTTTGGAATTATAAACCATCTCTCAATAACAACATTGAATGTAAATAGTCTAAAATCTTCAATCAAATGACAGATTGGCAGACTAGATTAAAGAACAAGACCCAACAATAGTTGTCTGCAAGAGACTCACCTCAGAGG